TTATATGCTCATTTAAATTATGTAGACTCTGGGAAGAGGCAATCATATTAAGCTTCAGTTCCTAAACAAATTTCTCATAGAAAAATATATGAGATTCAAATTCTAAAATAAGCTATAAAATGTAACTATAAAAGTGATTGTTTATATTTTCAGGCTCAAAATACATTTTATGATATTTTATGGCAGTGATATCAAACCTGGGAACAGGTAGGAAATATTTTTTCCTAGGAAACATTAGGGTTTTGATGATTTTTGTCTCAGTTTATAAGACTATATGAAGCATTTAACCTGATACCTTTTTTCTCATTTCTCTAGTTGTGAGAAATACAGTGTCAAATAAGCAAACATGTGCATATTATAATGTATTCTTTTAAATTAACATGTCCTGAAGGAAATTTTATGCCAGGAAATTTTTCTTCCCCCAATTCCTGTCTACAACATCATCTTAAATATAATACTTAATAATTACTGGATAGATTAAAAGTCTAAGACATTATGTTTAAATGGTTCAAAAGACATACTTTGCATTGGGATTATGATTCTTGAATAAATTTATGAATACATATTTGTCTTTCTCTTAACACAGAACCATTTAAAATCAGGTTACTGCCTAGAGAAATATTTGAGCAACATGCAAGGAAAAATGCCCAGCCTGATTCAAATCTTTGCATATGGTTCCACTGGCAAGCAGCTATGGAAGGATTCGCTTTCCATGTTTGTTCTGAATATTTGTTTTGAATACTTGCTTCATTACGTGTAAGCCAGAGTATGTTGCCTTATGAAGTAAAACAGAGTTTATAAATATATATATATAGTAAACTCAAATATGTGGTGAGTTTCTTTCTTTATGAAGATGCCTAAACAATTCAATAGAGAAAGGGAAATCTTTGTAACTTGTAACAGTGAAACAACCAAATATGCCAAGAAGAAAATTAATACCATCCCTCCACTTTCACCACAAAAAATTAACCCAAATTGAGTCATAGAGTTAAATACAAAAGCTAAAGCTACAAATATTCCAGAAAAAAGCTTAAGAAAATACCTTCATGATCTTAATATTTGCAAAGATTTCTTTGAAAAACATGAGAAATATTACACATAAAAACATTATAAATTATGCTAGATATTTTTGCTCTTTAGAAAACACTGTTAAGAAAATTAAAAGGCAAGCCACAGATTGGAACAAAAGACTCTCAAGATAAATATTTAAAAGTGAATATATGTTATATATATATATATATATATACACATATGTATAAAAATAAAACACTGCAATCTTTTGAATATGATTATCAGTAACAAAAACTTATGAAATAATATTCAACATTACTCATTGTTAGTCATTAGCAACATGGGAATGAGAGTTCAGAGGTATTATTAGCTACCTATGCTAGAATGGTTACAGCGAAAGGATCACCAATACAAGTGTTTCTGGTAGGAATGTGAAATGTTACAACTACTATTTGTTAGTTTCTCATCAAGTTAAAGATTCATCTACTCAAATAGCATGGGCATTCTAAATAATTACCTAAGAGAAATGAAAGTATGTTCACAAATTATCATATGTGAATGTTTGTAATAGCTTTACTCATAATAGTGAAAAATTGGAAGCCAGGCGAGGTGGCACATGCCTGTAATCCCAGCACTCAGGAGGCTGAGGCAGGAGGATGCTGTGAGTTTGAGGCCAGCCTGGGTTACAAATTGAGTTTAAGGCCAGGCTGAACAGCACAGCAAAGTTCTGTCTCAAATAGACAAAAAAAAAAAAAAAAGAAAGAAAGAAACAACATAAATATATATCAACAAGTAAATGGTTCAAAATTAATTACGGCATATTCATATAGAGTTTTGCACCATCATGAAAATGAACAGACTTCTTATATACAGAATAATATGTACTCTCCCCAAAATATGAATGTGAAAATATTAGATGCTAAGGAGTTGATACTAAATCACTCCATTTATACAAAACTGTAGTATAGGCAAAGCTAATCTGTAGTGGCAAAAAAAATTAGATCAGTGCTTGCTTGGTGAGCAGGTGTGGAATGGAGAATTGATTTCGAAAGTGAGTGAGCATGATTACGTAATGACATCTTTGGTGATTACATGAAGCTAATCATTTGTCCAACTCATTGAGTTGTACATTTAAGATGGATGAGTGCCTTTTGTTGTAGGTTGTTTTAGTTACTTTTCTTATTGCTGAAATAAGATACCCAACAGCCACAAATGAAGGGAGGAAAGTCCATTGTCAGTTGCCCTGAAATCGGGGGTGGGTGACACAGCAGACAGGAATCACAGAGGACAAACAGTTCATGGTAGGCAGAAGGTAGCAAATTGAACCAGGAACAACACAAGCCTCTTTGTGTCCCTTATATTGCACACACGGTACAGGATTAAGGCAGTGCCAAACCAATCAGAGGGTTAATTAGGTAACCACACTGCATTCCCTTAATGCCAGTGCCCTTGATCCTAGCTCTACACTATGGATCTAGCTCAGCATCACATGCTTTAGATTCAGCCACCTCTGAAAAAGCCCTACCTATGACCACATGAGGCTTTGGGAGAACATCTAGGCTGAAACCATAACATCTGTGAATTACAAATTCATGACAAGAGTAAAAGAAAAATATTTAAAATAGGCAAAAGGTATGAACAGATAGTGAAAAAGATATACAAATCTCCATGAAGTCAATATAAAATTCCTCCACATAATTAGTCTTCAGTAAATGCAAATTATTACCATAGTGACATATCATGTATCTATACTGTTACCTGTCAATTTTATTTCTAGGTCTGCAGCAAAGATAAGTGATCTATATCTACCAAAAGACATGCAAGGCTCTTTTTCAGACTCCACGTGTAGGTGGTGTATGGCATTTGTCTTTCTATATCTCATCTATTTTACTTAGCATAATATCCTCTAGGTTCATCCATGCTGCTACAAACGAAAAAAAAAACTATCTCTTATATGAACTGGATATATATATATATATATATATATATATATATATATATCACGATTTCTTTATCTATCTTTTGATAGACACTTGGACCGCTTAGGTAATATCTTGGCTGTTAAATACTGCTGCAATGAACAATCCAGGGCAGATGCCTCTGCAATGTACTGATTTTGTTGTCTTTGAATATAAATCAGAAGTGGGATTGATATATCACAAAATAATCTTATTTTTAATTTTCTGAGGAACCTCTTTACTTAGGAGCTCCCATCTTTTTATAAGAGCCTTTTTAAAAGGTTACAAGTGATAACTTGTTGGTCTTGATTTTCATTTCCTTGATGATTAGTAATGTCAATTATCTTTTCTATACTTGTGGGCCATTTGAGTAGAAGGTCATTTGAGAAGTGGTTGGAGCTAAAGGGAAAACATTTGCCAAGGGTATGGGCTTTCAGCTATAAGATAATTACTTGGAGACCTAGTATGCAGCATAATGATTATAGTTAATGTTAATATATTGTCTACTTGAAATTTTTTGAGACTAAATGAGAGAATCACAAGTGTTCTTTTTAAAGAGGGAAAGAGAAAAGGAGAGAGAGGAGAGAAATAAAGAAAGAATTAGTAAAAGAAGGAGAGGGAGAGGGAAGGAGGGAAGAAAGAAAGGAAAAGTAAAAAGATAACCGTGTGAAGTGACATTTTAATCAGGTTGATTGTATGATCAATTCACAACATGTACATGTATAAAAGTATTTCACTGCATTCCCTAGATAAGTGCAATTTTGTCAAAAAATACCGAGAAAGCCAGAAAAACAAAATTTAAAAATGCAATTGGGAAGAAAACAAGACTTGTGTCAGAATATTTATAGCTGCTTAGTTATAGGAAGAAAAGACACCAAATGCCAATCACGAGAATAGATAAATGTGAAATAATTACATCATGCAAGCACACTAATTCATAAAAGAATTGTGACCTTAATATGCAAAGCAATGTGGAAAAACATCAAACACTACTCTGAGTCAAAAAAGTCAAATCATATATTTTGTGATTCCTGTAGTCATAGGTGGGGCTTTTCAGAGGTGGCTGGATCTAGCGTGTGTGACGCTGGGATTGATTCATGGTGCAGTGCGAGGCTTAAAAGCGCTAGGATTTAGGATGTGAGTGCTACCCACTCAAGGCAGGAAGCTTGGATAAGCTATAAGGGGCAGAACGAGGCTTGCAGACCCCTTGCTTGCTTTGTTTCCCTTTGCCTTCCATGAACTGTTTCTCCTCGGTGATGCCCCTCTGCCATGAGGTCTGCCTTGAGGCAGCCTATGATGGACCGAAACCTCTACAAGCTGGACTAAAGAAACCTTTGCTCCTTTAATTTACATGTTGGGTATTTTGTGTCAGCAACTAGTAAAAATAATTAAGACAATTTTTACTTATGTTAATTTCATGGATGGCCAAATTATTCTTTGGTGATAGAAAAAATCAGAACAATATAGGAAGACTGACTGAAAAGGATATGAGGAAGCTATTCAGGTTGATATAAATGTTATATGCCTTGATTGAGGTGAAGGTTGTATTAAGCGCACGGATTTTCATAACTTGAAATATATGAACTTAAGATTTGTTAAACTTCACTCCATTGTAGATTTTATCTCAGTTAATTAAAAAACTAGCCTACTCAACTAAGCTAATTATCATCTTTAATCACTCTTTTGCTTTCATAGATAATCTATCCAATAGACCTTTTATTAGATTGATGTTAAAAGCCTGTTTACTTTTCTTTGAAGGCAATTATTTAAAGCATTATCCCTTTAAATGAAATTTGATTATCTTTTGGCCATTAGAATATTTAATCCATAGTTTACCCATCATTACTGCACTACGCAGTAAAATAAAATGATATCATTTAGGGCAATTGAAACTTTTCCTTAAGGTCTAATTATTTTTATTTTCTACAGTAAAGAAATATTTATTGCAGACTAACGAGAAGGAAGTGGAAGACAAGAAGAATATCTAAAATAAGCAGTTGTTAGTTAAAAGAGAACATCTGAGCACCTTACCTTGTAGCATTTGTGCGTCCCCTCTCTGTTCCGCTTTGGCTATGGCATGCCAAGCCCTTTTGACTATTCAGGGAGAAGGCTGGTAGAAACAGGAGCAGAATAGTTGGGAGCTCAAAAACTTACATGCCCTCTTGTGGGAGTCTGTGTTAGTATGTATGATTTCTGGGCAACCAGAACTCCAGCCTCCGTTGCCTAGAGGTAGCCTGGCAACCAGTCAACAAAAGGGATGGCACGGAGTTCTCCATGAACCAGAGAAACCCAATACTGAGGTGAAGAAATCAGAAACATATGGCAAAATAGATGTGAACCCCGGCTTTCTGTGAGGTTGGCTCCAGGAACTTTACTAAGGGATTTCTCCAACAAGGAGAGACATTAACTGATGTCATGAGGTTCTCCTTGGTTGTAGGAATGGAGTGGAAACATATTTTTTTGTTTTGTTTTGAGACAATGTCTCACTCTGTAGTTCAGGCTGACCTTGAACTTACGATGTAGGCTGGCCTCAAACTCACAGCGGTCCTCCTACCTCAGCCTTCCTCCCAAGTGCTGGGACTACCGGCATGCACCACCACACCTGGTCACAATTAGCTTTTTTAAGAAAAAAACTCCCAATACTTACTGATTACCGATCTTTTGTAGGCACTTTACAAAGTGTCTACACTTTGTTTTATGTAAGAGTAGCAACTTTCCTAGAACAGGAACACTGGTACTCCAAATAGTTCTCAAAGGATATTTACTCTCAAATGCATGCATCAACCCACTGTAGAAGTTGTGCTTAGTTTATTTCTAACAGGTCCTAAAACAGAGAACACTTTCAAGATAAACATTTGAAAATGTAATACTGGTTTTTTATGCGTTCATATTAAAAACACTCTGACATTTAAGAATTGCGGTAAAATAACCCTGGAAATGGTCTGTAAGTATGGAAGCTCATAAGGCAATATGGCTTGTAACCGTCACCATGGGGAAGTGCACAATATATTCGCTAAAGGTAAGCTGCACAGTGGGGTCCACAGTCCAGATGATAGCTGCTCTCCACAATCTGTGAGAAACCAGGCCTCCCAAGAGGAGAGGAGCACAAACTCTACTGCAAGCTATGCCTTCCAGATATCTAGGTTGTGAGCTCCTTTGAACAATTCCTATCTCCCCATGGAGAAACTGTCTTCCATGAAACTGGCTCCTGGTGCCAAAAAAATTGGCAATCGTTGCTACAAAACACAATAATAGGATCTCATTAAATTGTGTGAGGATGGTGTGTGTGTGTGAGCATGTTGATGTATATGTGAGCATACTCTGTGTGTGTGAGCATGCTGGTGTGCATATGTGTGTGTGAGTATGCTGATGTGTGTCAGCATGCTGTTTGTGTGTGAGCATGCTTGTGTGTGTATGTGTACATGATGTTGTGTGTATATGTGTTTATGTGTAGACACATGCACACACATACTTCACTCCCAAAGCATACCACAAAATTACCAGTGGTTATATATGTGTTATCTATGTGTGTTATATATGTTATCTAAGGATAAGGAATACATTATTGAAAGTTTCTTAGGGTACAGATGAGGAAAACAGAAAACCTTACTCCCTAATGTTCCAAAACCCTGCCCCTTGTGCCATGGATGATTTAGAGTATGTAGAAATTTCACAGGACTGTTAATACTGTCCAAGTGACATTGGACCACATAGTTTGGAGACCCTCCTGGGCAATCGAGTTGCACATACTAACTTGCTTTGGTGTGAAAATGAGCAGAGTATGCACTACAGAGATTTAAAGATAGTCCTTTTATGTTATTACATGAAGCATTTCTAATTTGAATGTCTTTTTCTCCAACCAATCATAAAGATACCATAAATATAATAATACATGACTAGAATGACATAAGAGTTGTTATATTAGTGACTAAATATTGAATGGGACAAGAAAACAGTTTACATTTGTCATTTTACTAATAGTTAACTAATAGTATTTGTCATGTTACACAAATTGCATGCTTTTTCAGGCCAATTATGAGCTAAATGAGATATTTCTCTAAAGATGTTGGCCAATAAAAAATATCCCAAACACCCACCCACCCACACACACACACACTATTCAGTGCAACGACAGGCTATTTGTGCCAAAGGCAGAAGGACGGGAAATGCTGGCCTGGGACAGGACAACTTCAGGAAACATTGTGAAATCAGGTATGTCTTTGCTAAAATAGGGCAAAGAAGTTCTTTATCCTGAGCAGGACTACAGTTTTTAAGAAACCCAAGAATAACAGGTTATAGCAGTTGTTTAGCTGTGAGTTAAAGACTGCTTTCCCACATTCATCCAAACAGCTTTTAAAACTGCTGGAGAGCTATTCATTTTTTTCCCCAAATTTTGGACTTACTTGAAGATTCATGTGTAAGTAGTTTTATTTTACACTGAATTCCTTTGGTCTTCCAGTTTATTTCATCTCACAAAATAGGTTTTCCTAGGCTCTCATGTCTCTCTCCCTCTCCTTTCTCTATCTTTATTTTGTAAGGGACCAAAGCTTTTAAGCTGTTTTATATTGGGAGAGGAGGGAAGCAATCAAGCACAGAGGCATCTTGGGCACCAAATAACTCTTACAACACACAAACTCCTTATTACTTAAGTGTAAATGAAGCATAAACATATGAATTCTATTTCCCATAAACCACACAGGGTCCTCAACAATCAAGGGAGAGTGTGCTCTGCACAATGTGTTTTGTTTGGTTGAACCAAAAACACCTGAAAAATACATCTAGGTTGACGAATCCAAAATGTATACCCATCCCTATGGATAACATGGGTGGTTGGAACCCTTGATTTATGGTGCCAGCTGAACTGCTTACATCTGTTGAGTAGGCAACCAACAACCAGTGTGAGCCTCAAGATAAGCTTGTTCTTGTGTTTCTCTGGGCCCAGACACTTAAGCAAGGATCAAAGACACTGAAGCCTTTGCATAAACAAAGCTGCTCTGCTTTACTGTTGCTAGAGACTTGCTCACCTGAAAGACTTGCAAGTTATCTCAAATTATTTGATAACCCATCGTGTTTGTGTTAATGTGGGATGATGCTAGCTTTTACCAATAATCTAGATCCGATCCCTTGTACCAATAAACCACCACAATGAGCTCTGGTTTATTTTCCCTTCATAAACCACTGCTATTGTCCCTATGCACATGCCCCTGACTTTTTTGTTAAGGAATAAATTGCTGTGATTTTATGGAGCGGGAAGATGCTTTCTCCTGGCTGGTATTTCTGACCATCTCATGTCTATTCACTGAATCACACTCCACATGATACTGATAATTCTTTCAAGTTCATTTAACCTTGGCAGTGACTACATCTTGTGTGAAGGATTTTTAATAGCAGCAGAAACTCAAATAGGATGTTTGGGAAACTTGGCAAAATAGGTCCACTGGGGCTCTTGTTCTGTTCTACCCAATTATTATTAATGCCATTCCTATCACCCAGCTCAGAAACAGTACCAGCCATTCACATCTGGTTCTCAAATCCTTTGATGATCTGTGTGTTAGTTTTAGTGTCTTTGTTTGATAGATGAGGAAATGGGGACCCTGGGACATGAAACGACATTCTCCTGATGTCCAACCTTAATGCAGACTCTGGTATCCACTCTTAAAAAACGCACCCCGTGTACCCATTGTGTCTTCTGAGGAAGAGTCTGGTCAGTCTCTTCATTTCACACCAGTGCACTCTCTTTTTACTGGAGGCCTCTCCTTTTGCTGAAGCGTCCTCTTAGAACATCAGCTATGAGTCCCATCAGCCCCTTCAAGGGTTTTGCCTCATTTCCACCCCACAATTGTCTGAGCTGCATTTATAACTCCTGCCCCGCCTCCACTGGAAATGCTCCTCTCCCTTTAAAACAGACCCATTGCGCTGGGCACGGGCAGGAAGAAAATTCCTTGGACTGAATTCAAGGCCTGTAAACACAAATGGGATCCAAGAAGTAAGGAGGCCAAAACCTAAGTCCCAGTCCCTGTTCCTGTTTGGCAGGCTGTTTGTCAACCCCCTCAGGAGAGTGGGGAGAGAGACACAGCTGGTTCACAGGCAGCACTGGATTCTGAGACTAGGAGAGAAACAAAAGAGGTTTTTTCTTGTTTATGCTAAGCCTTGTGCCAGGTAATATGCTATTGTGTCTCCCTTTGCTATGACTAGATGCAGTCTTTTTCTGTCTCTCTACCAGTTTCCTGAGAAATCTTTGCAACAGTAGAGCTAGATTAGAGTAATACCATGAAGGTTTAACCAGAGCTGCTTGATGTTAGCAAGAATTGGCTTACTTATAGAAGCTCTCAAAGCCTTACTATGATTTGTGTGCAGACTCTCACCACATCCTCCTTGCTCTGGCCAGCTCTCTCTGAGGTGCAGTTGAGATCAAATGGTAAGACACAAGGATGCAGAGGGCTGGGGATTTAGCTCAGTGGCATGAGCGCCTGCCTTGCAAGCAGGCGGTCATGAGTTTGATCCCTGGTGCCGATAAAAAAAAAAAAAAAAAAAAAAAGACACAAGGATGCAAGGAAAAAACAGTATTATTCAGACACTTACCCTCTTCTGATCGCATATGAGCCAACGTGAAACTTTATAGGAAAATCATCCTCTAGATCAGTTGTTCCTAACTGCTAGTGATTCTCCTACCTCCAGGGACATTTGGAAATGTCTAGAAATGTGTGGCTAAGGGGGAGCACTACTCATGGGTAGAAGCCAAGGTTTCCCCTAAATATCTTAAAAAGCATAATCTGTCTCTGCACAAAAACATTTGTATCATCCAAAATGTCAATATTGCCAAGTTTAAGCCTTGTGCTTTGGATTCTTTGAAATGGGTTAAGAATGAGAAAGTTTTCTTTCTAAAATATGCCGAGTCAGGACCTCTAGCCCAGAGGCAGGCCACTTTCTTGCCTGCCCTCCCAACCACCCTTTGGACCCTGGACCTCCAGCCCAGAGGGGAGGCGGCTTCTGTGCCCGCCCTCCCAGCTAACCTTCAGGGACCCCCACCCCCATCTCCTGGACCTCATATTGCTGTTGATCTTTGGCTGCACCTCCACCTCCCAGAACCTTGGATTGCAGTGGATTAGCCTTGGTGGGTTGATGGGAGACTCAGTACCCTTCATCCAAACAGAGGACCTCCGCAGGTTTCCATCAGTATGGTGAGTTTT